AAAAAATTAGCTAAAGATTGTTACTTTATAGTATATATATATACATAAAGCAGTTTGGTATTAACACCAGGATACAATATATAAAATAGAATAAATAACCCTGCTCCACTGTAAGGAGCCGTTTGCCTGAATGACCCAGGGGGCTGAACAGTGAAAGGCCATGAGTAATTGAGAAAAGTGGGGCAGATCCAGAATAGACGTTGTACCCAGGAGAAGAGGAGTGAGATCCTCCTCACAGACTAATGGATGTGTTAGAGAGAACAGCTTTCATGTTGACTCCACCAGAGGCTACAGAAGCAAAAGGCAAATTAATTATAGAAATGAAGCCAAGCTTCTTTTTTTTAATATATAAATCTTACAGTGGGGCAGCTGGGGAGTAAATTTATCCCTCTGTCTACAGAACGGAGACAGCTCCGCGGTCCGTGCCTATCCAAAAGAATATACAGCAATACTGAGCTAATGTTGAGATGTTGAACTGATGAATGGGGAAAAAGGTGTTGATAAAGGCTGCCCCACATTCACAAAACTATGGAAAAAATTGGCTCACAAAAAAAGAGAGAACTAAGAGCAGTGGTTCTTAATTATTTTCTGTCATGCCGCCCCTTGAGGACAGAAATACAAATTGAAATACTATTGAGAACCTGATAACATGTATATTTTTATCTGTACAAACCACTGTATGAGTTGCCACCTAGTGACTGGAGGCTTTCATTCAAGCAGTACAGCAGTGGTACACTTATGTCCAGCATAATTATTAATATTCTATTCTATTCTGTTCTATTCTATTCTATTCTATTCTATTCTATTCTATTCTATTCTATTCTATTCTATTCCAACATTAACTTTTGTCGATATCCGAAATGCTGATGTTGTCCAAACATTTTCCGAATCCGATATCAACCGATACTGATATATATGCGGGCGTTTTCGATATCAACCGATACTGATATATATGCCTGGAGCAATAAAGGCAGAGGACACATTTCATTGTTTGCACTGGTGTGCTGCGTCACAATGACAATAATTCACTTTCACCATTACTTCAAAACTATTTTTAGGTGACATTATCTGGGCGAAACCCCAAGTATTGCGTTATTCGGTTTTCATTAACGGCGGAAAAAACAATAACGATTCTTACCAATATTACATAATAACAATTTACATTATGCTAAACCAAGGCCCGCGGGCCAGATTTGGCCCGTTCAGCTTTTTAATCCTGCCAAACTTTTCCAAATTATATAATTTATTTCTATTATCATCAAACTTCTATTATATAATTTATTTCTATTATCATTAAACTTCTCGTTTCCCCAATAGATGTTGTAGAAAATGATAAAAGCAAAGCTCCATCGATCTGCTCCTGACCCGGTCCCCCTGTAAAATTTTAGGCCTGGTTTAGTTCATTTACATGCTCGAGTACTTTCTCAGTTGTACAAAACAGTGGTCATAATTCTGTGTAATCTCTAATTATTACTACAACGTGATAGATTATTATTTGTCACACACGCAGTGAAATTTGTTTTGCCCATCGGTGTTATTAAAGCAGCACACATCCGGTTGTGTCCATCCGCATTGTCATAACATGATGTAAAAGTTCATCTCTACATTAATATTCTATGCTCCCATTGTTGCTCTTTCCATTATTTCTAAACTAGGCTTGTGGGAATTTTCCAGATGAGGTGAGAGTTTGCTGCTGTCCATCTCGGGAGCTCACATTCGCTCCGCCGAGTCGCATGTTTCATTTTTACGGCCCTAGACCGTGCCAAAGGTCTAAAAAAAAACACAAACACTGATGGAAGGCACGTTACTGTCAGACAAAGACGTACAGTAAAAGTGAAGCAAACGGCGAACGGTGTGATGTCATTACAGAAGCCGAACATATTGATTTATTAGTCAACTCTGAGTGGAGGCCTTTTTAAAAAAAGCGGAGGAAATCGTTTGAAAGGCCAGAGACGGGCTTTTTTTTTTTTTTTTTTTCTCCCTTTCAACAATTCCTCCGACATTTTTCCCCCATAACGGGCTCCACTCTCCGGCAGGAGATCTTTCCTCTGAGCAGGTTTGTATGGATTGATGACAAGAAGTAGAAGATTGATGGAGAACAGGAACAACACCTTCTCTATGATCAAATTTCTGCACTTTCTCAAGCACTTTCACGATCCACTTTTGTGTCCATTTCCCCAAGACGTTGGTCTCTGGTCGCAAAACTTATATTTTACCAGGTAGAAAAAAGATTTGCAGCTGCTTTTCGGTGTCCACCGCAAAAAAAAGGACAAAAACATGGACTGCAGAAAGGTCACTTTGCTTACAACAGCCTACAAAAAAATAAACCAAGATTCACGGGGGTTCAACTAACAGGGGTACAACTATGAAAGCGAAACAAGGGTGACAACAATGTCGCAAAACCAGTGAAATCACAGCCATGTTGGATTTAATACGTGTCCTCTGAATTCCTATAAGCTGGTGAAAAGGGATTACATCCAGTACTTACGGTACTTTAAAAAAAAATCCATTGGTTTATCCCATTATCATCAGAATGAACATTCCTTGGTGTAGGTTCCTGGTTTCAGTTGGTCTCTATGTCTCTCTTCACAATGTCGCTCTTCACAAATAAGTTGATTAGTTTTAGCGAAACTCTATATTTATAAACAAACAAACAAAAATACAACAAAACGACCACAAGTTAACCAACCCCGGCGAAGTTTACCACTAGCAAGGTAAGCCGTTTGGGCACTGAATCGATGAGGAGCTGAAGCTTAAATATTGCCCTTTCTCAATTGGAGGCCACGCCCTCCAGTGCTCAAGCTCATCGGCTGGATTTAGTGCAGCCGTAGAGACAAAACAACAGCAGCAAAACAACAACCTAGGACAGAGAAAACGCAAAACATCACGCTTCCTATGTAGGTGGGATTTTAACTTAATACAACAATTTTCATTCGTGTATTTAAAAACTACGCGGATCCAGTGCGAATTTAGCATTTAAACTGTGCCGCTGAATACGACTCCGGTCCCGGTAGTACATATGCCCGGCCTGTATGTGACGCTGTGACGCATGTTGTAACATAATAACACCTGAAGAATATTTAGTTCAGAAAAGCCACACAGCAAAGGCTTGCAAACTTGTAAACAAACACAAAAGAGAAGCGCTAAAAGACACCGCTGGCTAACAGTACAGCCAAATAGCCAAATTAGCTTCTCCAGCATGGTCAGAAGTAGCATGGTTTCAATTGCAGAGTGAGTTGGGTTGAAGAGTGACCACATCGTCCCACTCCCACTTCACTCTCTTTGTTGAAACACAAGGGCAAATCTGCGCTATAACCCTGGGATCTGTAGTTGCGCTGTTGCCATGTAATCAGGACATGGGGTGTGAATGGGGGGTTGTTAGAGTTAGAGTTTGATATCATCAAACATGAGGGACCCAGCTGACTGTACGATCCTCTGAGTCTGTCTATCTTTTGTTGTACGGGAGGGTTCCTAGAGTTTGTTTTTTTTTTTGGCAGAAAGGACACAGGACAATAATAGAAGTGACTAAGTTATGCCATCTCCGCTGTTGAGTGATAGCTCCTCCAGGGTGACACAGGTCACTTCCTCCTCTCTTCTTTTGCACCATCTGTCTTCTCTGGCTGTACATTTCCATCTTCGTAAGTGTGTCATCTGTCCTTGAGATGCAGATGAACAGCTGAGTCCTGGCCTGACTGGCTTGCTCTCCCGTGTTGTTGTATACACTCGTGCAGCGGCCGACGTACAGTTCAGGGTGGTCCTCGCTGCACTGTACATCCTAGACAACAATGCCCTGCTTTTGGTGTGGTATTTTGTCCATGGGGTGAAACTGTTTTTTGTCGGCTTGTTTCTGGATTTGAACAAAACTGGAATTTGGTGGGTTTTTTATTAATCTTCGAGCCATCAATTGCTGTTCTCTTCCCTGTTCTGTTCTTTTGTTGGTTGGTTCCACAATGTAGCTGTTAGCATGACTGCCTCGAAAGCAGCGAACAGAAAGGCACATACTTGGCGCCTGCAGGGGGCAGCCTATTATAGCCACATACTTGGCACCTCCAGGGGGCAGCCTATTATAGCCGATTTCCCAAATATGGGAATCAATATAGTTCAATTTTTGTTGATGTGGTAGCTTTGGTGAAGGCTTAATCGGAATAGCTGCCACTCCCAAGTTCTTCTCCTATGTGGAATCGAAGCACATGCAACCGAAGGGTTAAAGCACCCGTCTTTGCTGATGTGCAGAGCACAGTCCAAGAACGCCAACATGTCTCCTCTCACATCTTCATGGGTAAATTGAATGTCCTTGTTGATGCATTGAAGTAAAAAGTTCATTTTTTTGGATTTCGATTTTAACCCAGGTGTCATCTGCGTAGAGGTTAACCACGATAGAAAATGCAATCCGTTTCTTGGCGCATCGCTGCGTAGAGGTTAACCACGATAGAAAACGCAATCCATTGTGCCTGTCTGGCCGGTCTGGTCAACAGTGAGTGCAGTTAATTTAGGTCAAGAGCTGCTCTGGTGAAGTTCTCTCCTGGGCATCTCTGAAGTTGGGATGCAGACGAAGGGGAATGTGACATCATATGACACTACAGTCTCATCTGGTTCCAGCTGGATTCCCTTGGTGCTGACAAACTCCTGAGGGTTTCCGATGTGATGAGGTGTGTTTCCAACTGACGGTGCTAGGATATTGGACAAAAGTTCAGCAGAGTTGTTATTGGATGCTAATTTGTTGATGCTAATTAGACAAAAAGACACCCACCTTAGATGCGAGGAATTCCAAGACTGGCGTTGAAAGAACAATTTCTTGTTGACCTTCTTTCAGCTCTTGCACATCCATGATTCTTTTCTTGTGTCGTCTGGTAGTGGGGATTTAAGAAGAATGTGATTGGAATTTGTTTTACTGATAGCCAAAAAATGTACATAGTAAAAGTAAATAAAAGTTCAACATGAGTACACTGTTTCTGTCTAATTCTGATTTTAAAGAAAAGACCAGGAGACCAGGCTGGAACATTTAATAGTTTAATTATAAGCTGCTGTATACATTCAGTGATTATTCCCATTTTCATGTTGCCAGAAGCCATAGGTGAGACCAGCAAAAACATCAGCTTTTGTGCATATGACTTTCACGCATATGCACTTTTTCTGGAATTCCATTCACAATCGTCCACACGGTACATACAGTAGTTATTGACTAAGCAACAGAAACCTCACTGCCGATGTGCAAAACTGTTCCTTCAGGAACCTGACTGAGATCAATATCGTCTCAACTCTTCCTTGGTACTGTTGGTGTTGCTGATCTGAGCTAATCGGAACCCACTACAATCTCATTGCAATCTGAAACTGTCATGTCTTTAAACCACAGTCTATATTTAAGAAATACAAAACACCATCAGTTGCCATGTGGACCATGGTCCCAAGTTCTGCTTCCATTTGTTTGTATGGGTTTTGTCTGGCTCCCTCGTGTTTCTACAGAAAAGCGTAGACCAGCATTGACTTAATGACTGTGAAAATGTTCATGATCCTGGTTTTAGGCAGTAAAAATGTGGATTAAATGATCAGAGAAAATAAAGTGATACCAAGACTTAATGTGAAATGTTGTCCTGTGATAAGCCTGAAACCTGTTTTTAACTGTCCTGTGATAAGCCTGAAACCTGTTTGCGTTTTTAAACCCTTGTTTCCTCTACCACTCTGAACAAACGTTTTACTTTCAGACTCCTATTGGACTGTAAACCCGTGACAAGTAAAAATAAAAAAAAATAAAATATATATATATATATATATATATAAATACACCCCCCTACTCTGAGCTAATTTTGAATGGAGATTTTGTTTTTGCACAGAATTATTCCAAGTTAAATTGATAATGTCTGGGGAAAGTGACAGTCTGCTAGCCTGTGATGCACAAAAACAAAATCTAATAGGAATCGCAACTGATAAAGTTCTCCACCCAAAGTCTTAAAATTGGTGATTGAGATTATTAAGCCCTCAATTGGCGTAAATATAAATTAATCCACCCAAAGTCTTAAAATTGGTGATTATTAAGCCCTCATTTGGCGTAAATATAAATTACATTTTGCCATGATTCTGTTTCATTTAACAGGTGAAAACAAACTGAAATGAAAAAAAAAAAGAGTGGGGTGAGTGGTAAACCCTGTGGAACACCACAATCGATTCCTTTGTTGCGTCTTTCAAACAGGGCTTTATAATGAGAACCATACAAAGCCAGTCGATAAAACCCATTACATCAAAACTTCCATCAGAAACTTCTATTTCCTTTAGCTCGTCTTTTGCAACTTGATGGCCTCTGTTATTTCCTAAAACAAGGTAAATGGTTTGGATCCAAATCCAAAGTGTTTCAGTGATAACAGATATTGATGACAGCATCATGTTTTGATACTTTTGAACAGATATTTCTTCTCCTCAGTCACTGAGATCAAGACACATCGCGCAATCCGTTTTTGGTTTCTTTTTGCTATCTCACACTAAGCTTGTTAAACTGACACACTAATGTTGGTGCTGTAGTTGGTTTTTGTTGTTTTAATGTTTTTTATTGTTTTTGTTATTTTTTTTGTTATTTTTTTTTTACATTTTTCATTATTTCTAGTAGCCCACACAGAAACTGGATGGCACAAGAACTGACCAATAAGAAACTCTTTTACAACAAGTCAACAGTTGCCAGGGGGAGTTCACACATTAAACAAAGAAAGAAAAAAAAAATCAAAGTTCTTTAAAAAAATTAATTTGATGTAAAAATGCAACAAAAGGACCAAAAAAGCAAGTTAATTTCAAGTATAACTTACTCATAAAATAACTACACAGCATTAAATATCCTCATTATACATTTTTAAATTATTTATAAAATATATTTTGGCATATATGTTTTTTTTTCGTTTTTGTGTTTGTGTAACAAACGCTACCATAGCTTCAGTTAAACACCAATGTTTTTGTTTTTTTTTCCTCTTCTTTCTCTGGAAACAGAACATTTAAAGGGATTGTCACATAACAACAAGGTTATTAATTAAAAAAAAAGAGAGAGGATTAAACCCTATACAGAGTTTGTTCACAGAGCAAGACATGAGTGACGATCCCTTCTATCCTAGCCCCAGCATCGACGTCCAAAAAAAAAACAAGAAAAAAAAATTTTGAAAAAAAAAAACAAAAATATAGGTACAAGACCAGAGCACAACGTCCTACAGTTTGTGCTCAACTGGCTACAATCCACGTTGGGGACAAGAGAAAACTTTAACCAAAGTAGGAAGTCTGTTTTTTGTGTGTTTTTTTTTTTCATAACTCTTTTTGAACACAAGGGTTTTCACTGTCCCACTTTTTAAACTGTTCGTGGTGTCAGATCAGGAAAGTGACAGTTCGGTTAGCTCCATCCTCGACTGGAATATAAATACTGACGACACCAGTGTCGTCCTTGTGGAAATGTTCCTCAGATGAGTCCGAAAAAGAGATTCTGAAAAAGCACTTTTTCCCAAATGTTCAGGAGCTGTTCCTCAGTGTCTTGTTTTGACAGACTGATTCCACGGAAAGATCTTTAGATTTGGTAGCAAAAAACCTCAGAAGAAGGCAGACATCCAAAGGTGTTTGTGTGTAAGTGTACGTGTGTCTACAAAAAGTAGTTCTTGAAGGCGTAGGTTGTACATGACGGGAGTTGCTGAGAAAGTCCAGGACTGGGAAGGTCCATCAGCATGTCCACGTGGTGTCCAACAGTGACCTGCCTGTCCACGCGATGAAGCGACGTAAACGAACGAAAACAACCAACGCAGAGTTCACTGTGAAAATATTTTAAAAAGTGGAGAATGTTCAAAATTTTAAGGCAAACGATTTTTTGTTCTCAGCCAAACTCATGTTTTTAGGTTTAAGGAAGTTTTATAAGACTATTTGATTTCGCTTACAATTTATGATCCTGCGTTAACAAACAAAAAAGGTCATGATATATAAATATTCTACATATGAGGAACATTGTGGCAGCTCATAATTTGTCCGCTAAATCAATCAAAAAAAAAAAAACTTTAAATAAAGTACCAACCAAGTTTAATAAATGGAGTTTCGAGAAGATTGTCCCAGATTTGCGATAAAATAAAAACAATTTAAAATAGCACTGTATTATTCCTTTTAAACTTTAAAATATTTGAAACATTTTGACCTTGCAGTCAAACAATGTTTGGTCAATAATTTAAAATAAATTAACTCTCCTATTTTATTTTAAATTAGTTGTTGATACAATTTTACTAAAATAAACCATCATGACTTTGGCCCAAAACTCAAACAGAGATCACCCTGAAATTTTTTTGATAAAACTTCTCAACTTTTTAATTTTAACAGTGTACAAAATAAAAAAAAAAATTGTGTGACACTAACAAAGCCACGCCCACAGGCCATTTTTCCCAGGCGTACAAGGAGCTGCAGCACGCATCGTGTCCTGGAGTCTGCGGGATTAGAATATTCCGTCCCTACTTCCACAGTCTGGCAGTTTTCTGCGGACTTTGAGATATTGCAGAGTAAATATATCTATTTTCTGTAAATGTGCAGGACTTCGGTGAGGGGCAGGGACTCCCTATAGCACGATGTCCTTCAGGCGTTTGCTGCCTGGAGACTCCTTGTCTCTGCTGTCGTGAAGGAGTGTGTTGATCTCCCTAACGGCTGGCTCACTGTCCTTTCCCTCCGGCTGCCGCAGCAAGCTGTGGTTGGCGATACGCTCTGCATCTCGGCATTTAAGTGTGTTGTAGGCGGACAGCGGCTGCTTCGACGCCGGGCTCTTCACGTGCACAGGAGATGTGATGGGGCTGGCCGCCTCGCGCCCGTTGCCAGCTTCTCGCACCGCCCCTCCGTTGGCCTTGGGGCTACAGACCTGAGACTCCTGAGTCCGCTTTCCTTTCGTTTCTCCCCTCTCTACATCCTCGGACCCTTCCTTGCCGAAGGTTGCAAAAGTTCTCTTGGCGGTCCCGTCTTCGTAGTGCGGCACGTCCACGTTAGTGGCCTCAATGGATAGGGCAATGACGTTGCGAGAATGTTCGGGCGACTTGGCACGGGCCGGGACTCGGGGCATCCAGCAGCGGTCGGAGTGGCCGAGGATACGGCACTCATCCTGGCAGTGGAAGCCTTCACTGGGATCTAAGGAGAACAGAGACAACACCCCATCAATTTTCAGATCTCACAAAAATCATCTCACAAAAATTTAAAGAAATACTGTTATTTCCGGTCTAATGAGCGCACCTGAATATAAGCCGCACCCAATAATTCAAAAAAGAAAAAAATAATTGTACATATTTTAATTAAATACGTGCTTTTTCCGAAGTGTCTGGTTACATGTTAGCTTTATCCTGCTTCCGCGCCCTGACCGTAGGAATGCACAGGGGAGACTTAGTGATCTGCTCAAGTTCCGAAGCTAACATTAGCTCCGGGGCTATCTCTCTTCACTTTGTGCTTGTCCACAGCAGAGGTAAACAGAAACAGGGAAGTTGGGGTCTTTATTATCAGCCACACCGACCACAACAGAACATAAACAGTGTTTTAACAGCTCCTGTATAACCAACTCACACTTCAACATGACAGGGATCAAACTGCGCTCAACTTTCGCTAACGTTCTCTCTCACGCACACCCACGCACATATACGCACACAGCCATTCCCAGACAGACATACGCTACTAGTATCACCCAGTAGCCTACCAGAAAAGTCATTGATCACTAGCGGTATGAACTTAGCTAGCCTGTAAAAATCCATAAATCATCCGGATCATTGTTCACGCACCAGGGTTTAGCGTGTGAAAAAAGTAGCGTCTTATAGTCCGGAAATTATGGTACAAACAAATGCTTAACTTCTAACAAATTAAATATCTGCCATTGATTTTCCTTCAGTTGTTTCAAATTATCTCCCGACTGCGGTTCCGCTAACTCTCATTGAGCGGCAGACAGAGAGGCATGTCTGCAGAACTTGTAATCTGCCAATCACATTATGTCCTGTTAGATCAAAAGTCCTTCTGCGGTTCCAGTTATAATTGAGTTTTCTGTATCAACGCCGGATGAATGGCAGGTTTAAAGAGTGTGAGATCGAATATCACACAGAGACACGGAAGCTGCCGAAGAGCCGGGGATGGAGATGTTGGTGTTGTTTAGCTGGATCATCTTTATCTCTGTCTCCTTTACTGTCATCTGGCTTGGATTATAAATATGTAATGAGTGTGAAAACAAGGGTCTGTCTGACAGAGCCCATTTGGACAACGGAGACATTTCTGAAACATGAATGTGATGTTGGAATGGGGTCAGGATTTAGCAGTCCTCAGGACCAACTATTGATTTCTTACCCTGCTTTAAATGCGGGTGATAAAAACGCATTAATATTTAGCCCAAAAATAAAAAAATCCCAAAAAAGTTTGACAAAAAAGGACCAATACTTTCCTTTAGAAATGAATCAAATTTCACTAATTTGTCATTAGTAAAGATATTCATTCAAAAAAAAACAAAAAAACAAAACCATTTAAATTCCACTTTCAGTGACATATTTCGACAATTTCCTGAGCAGTTCTTGTTCTTGTTCTTCTACCCACAGTCGTCACCCTTTGCTTCTCAGCAGTTCAAGGTGACAGGAAAGGATGGCAGGAAGGATAGCTGTCGACCCAAATGCATATGCTTACATCTGGCAACAGCAGTTTGACAGATCACCTAATTAAAATCACTAATGATCTGTTTTTCTCTCTCCTCGTTTCCCTGCTGGTACCAGGGACCTGAGCTGAGGCCCTGGGGATCGATATTTAAAGATTGGAGACGGGCTTTTCAGGAGAAGATTTGCCAGAGCTGTCTCTCATAGAGAATAATCCAATGAGACTGACAGATAACATGGGGACTTAATGACTGAGAGAGTGAGTAAAGAGTGTCATAGGCGGTTGGAAGCATGTGGATGAATACGGATGGAGGAAGTCTGGGGGAAAATATTTAGCTTCAGGGAACAGTAGAGGGTTTTTTTTTTGACTATGTATCAAAATAGTGACATTATCAGTGATTTCGTTTTCTTTTTTTTGGTAAATTTCTTTCAGTGAAAACTGTGTTTTTTTGGTTTCATTTTTTTTTTTTCATTTGTAAAAGTAGAGTACTAATCCTAAAGATGTGATGTGTCTCAGTCGGCCAAAGACTGTTGAAGTATAAGGTTTGTGAACCAACTGCCAAAAAGGTCACAGATTTAAAAAATAAAAATCAGTTTAGATTAGTACACGGACATGGTATTAAAAAAAAAATCTCTATGTTGTAGACAGCTCAAAACTAATCTAGTCCATGGATTACGTTCCCCGATCTGCAGTGGTTCTCAATTATTTTCTGTCATGCCGCCCCTTGAGGACAGAAATGTTTTGACACACACCCCCGACCCACACCCCCTTGAATTGAAATAGTATTGAGAACCTGATAACATGTTTTTTTTTTTTAACTGGGGTCAGGGTTTCGTACGTAGCAGAGCAGCTCCTTCGCTGCGATCTATTGAAAGTCAGCCCTCGATCCAAGCTTTTGTCGGGCCGGCCCCGACGCGCCCCCCCCCCCGCGGGGGGGGGGGGGGGGGGGCAGCCCGACTATTTTCGAAGTACTGCCCTATCTGGGTTTGTTCTCGATGCCTTCTAAATGTTTCTTTCTTTTTCTTTTTTTTTTTTTTTTTTTAAATCTTGACTTCATTATTATCAGACTCTGATTGGATCTGTTCCGTTTCAACAAAACCTCCAGCATCAGGTCTCTTGTCTGCTTGATTATTACTGCTGCTGCTCAGTGGTCCAATCAGGACTCATGCAAATGAAAGATAAAAAGAGACTGGACTGATGTTGTTTTTGGCTTTACATGGAGATTTAACATGGGCTGACTGTATAACATTACACGCACCTTTGATCTGTAGCTGGAGGGCTTTGAAGAAAAAGACTGGGAAGAAGGCTAGGCATTCAGAATAAGAAGGAATAACGGCGGCAGCCTATAGATGAATGTGTAGCAAAAAATAAATAAAATACAAAAATCCGATTTCTCCCAGCTCATAATGACCTTTAATTTCATGAAAGTAACTGATTTCCAGTCTGATCTCTGAACGCCTCGTTCCTATTAGGAAGCAGGAGGAGGTTTTTATGCGGTTTTAATTTTGTGTTTTCACCGCAGGGAAAAAAAAAAAAGCCTCGCATTCATCGAATCACTCATTCATCCTTTTCTACTGTCACAGTTCACTGTGCCTTTCTTACAGAGAGATTCGGATTTCTTTGAGTTTCTTTCTATCCATTTTTCGGTGGCCTTTAACAGAAACATCTGCGTTTTATGAATCTGCGAGCAGTGGCAGGATGTGTGAGTGTTAATAGAACTTGCCGTTCACAACAATGCCATTCACAACCCGGTCGCTCTTCTGCAGACCTCTGACGGAAACGCTGGATTAAACCGTTCACAACGTACACAGGAACTGCTCAGCAGATAGAATGAATTCCGCATATGTTTCTTTGTGCTTCTGGGCTTTTCAGGCAGTGGGAAAAATAAAGATCTTCATGCTCTAGAAGAGCAGAGAGAACGGCGCTTCCAGGAAATGGGTTTCACTGTAGGAATGAAACTTGAACCTGGGCAGGAAGAAGATTGACTTTGTTTAATAGGAAAAATAAGAAAAAATGCTGGCCAATTGCATTGTAATAAATTCTAAAATGAATAATTGCCTTATTTTTGCTGCATTAAAGGTAAGGATATATATATATATATATATATATATATTTATAGCAAAAAAATAAGTTGTGAGCCAAGGAAGTCCTTGGAAGGTACTAATAGTACCAATATAAGGTTGAAGAGTTCTGTTGGGCAACTGGACGTGAATTTTCTCAAAGGAAAATAACCCAGCCAACGGTGGGGAGCTGAAGTAGCTTTATTCTTTGTCACAGCCACAGTATATATTTGCTGACGTCCAGTTGCCTAACGGAACTCTTCAACCTTGGCCATGACCTGATCTTCATAGACAAGTACCAATATACTACGTCAAAGTAAACTGAATTTTGAGCCAGAAAAAAAAATGTTATTCAACATGGCTATCTATTAAGAATGAAAATGTGCCAAAATATAAGACGAGTTAAGTGAAAAAAAAAAAATCAAAATTTAATTTGTGCCGAAGGATAGTTAAATAGAAAGTGTATCTAACCACACGCAGAAAGTAACAATACCTAAATGCTACGTAAAATGCTATTCATAATACTAGCCCAAAAGACAACTGACCTCTGGATTACTCATTATAGTGAACTGCTCTCTTTTCTTAGTTTAACTCGACAGAGGACAGACTACACCGTAACACCATTCAGTCACTTTGGTTTTTCCCCAGCATCGTGGTGCGTCAGAGAACTAGGAACGAGGGAGTGAAACAGCGTTTTCTTTCTCTATTTCACGTTTTTCCCAGCCGACATTTTTAAACTGTCCCGATTCTGTTCATCAGCTTAAAAATAACAACTCCAGAGACGAAGAAAGCCGGGAGTTTTTTTTTTTTTACGTTGACACTAGTGTGACGTCGCCGTTCTTCTCTGATCCCACCCACTCTAATTCCAGATGATTTCACGTAACAAATCTGTTTATAACGAGAGTACGTCACCTGAAAACGCAATTATTTATTAACTGGTGATTGAGAAAACCAACAACAAAACTCCTTCCATTGCATCTCTTTTCAATTCCTGCACAAAAGCCCCTAGCCAACAAATAAGGAAAGTAACAAAATCAATCTGCATATATCATAATGAATGATATAGCACTGACCTGAGGGGGAACCTGTCTGACTGTGTGTGTGTGCGTGTGTGCATGTTTTTTAAAGATTGTCAGGCTGGTTTATTTGTCTGACTGACACACACATACACACACACACTTTTGTCTTTTTAATTGCTCCTCATATTAATTTTCCATTCTGGCAGTCACATGGCAAAGATTGATGAAATTGAAATTCCGACTCCAGAGTCTCTATAGAGTTTGTGATGCAAAAGAGAGAGAAGGGGATTATGGGTAAAATAATACCAACATGCGAATCAGACACAAAGCTTTTTTTTTTCTGCAGTCATGTTCTAATAGTTTGAAACAATGGCGCATGCATGAAAAGTCTGGCCTGGTGTTGGAGACAGTACTGAAGTACACTGTAGTACTC